AGCGTGGTCATCTTGACGATGGCCATCGATTCAGTGTCTTTCGTGCGTAGTAACTAAATTAAGAATGTTATCCTACTATATATAAAAAATAGTGTATGTGTGTGTGTAACTTTGCATGCAACTTCCGTCAGTATGTTCCAGTCGTATCTCGATAGAGAAAGGGTTTTAGAGTATGTTTGATACGTCATTAGATGTGTAATCGTCTCGAGACGCCTGCACACATGTCAAATTGTCGAAACAGTGCTATTTACGACATTAAAATTAAGTTTTTGTAAAAATTTCGGTCCCCACGCTTTGTTAGGGATCAATTAGCATACGCCGGAAGCGAGAAAAGTCTATATAAAGAGGCCGAAGGCGCATTTTTCATTTTTTTCGAGTTGCGGTTCGGGTGAATTATGTAAATTGAGAACTCTCATTGGACGGGGCCAGGGTTGAAAAGTCGCGAAGCGGCTTTTCAACCCTGGTTCAATTTAATTCCGATATGTCAATTGTGAAAACCTATAACCTAAAAGCCTAAGCCTAAGACCAAGCCAAAGCCCAAGCCAAAGCCAAAGCCAAAGCCCAAGCCTAACCTTAAAGGGATAGGGGCGGCATAAGTCAATCGATTACGCGCGGGAAAGAAAATTTCTCTGCGCCTCTCCCCTGGGCGCCCTCTCTCGCCGCTGCATCTGTTGAACCCCCCCTCCCCCAAGGGGGGTTCAACAGATGCCGTCCTCATCTCTTTAAGCCTAAGCCTAAGCAAATCTGAAGCCTGTGACGCCAAAACTGTGCACCTACCTGCAAAAACATCGACTCATACCGCTTCCTAGCATCTCTAACAATTTGAAACCCGCGCTCCGTCAGTCCAATGGCTAAAACGCTGATCTTTAAAGATATTCCGGATAACTCACGCCCAGGACTGAAAACTATCATCATCTTCCAGATCAAAAATTCCTCGTAGGTCAGCTTGGCCCGGCGCAACAACGGCAAAACCTTATCCACCAGCTCGCGATGGCTCTCTTTCAGGTATTTCAGGAGGCTAGAAGAGCTGAGACGATTCAAAGCAAAGGTTTTGGGCCTACCCTTGTCGTGGTAATTTCGTAGGATCCCAGTGCTTTCCGAGGCCCACCAACTGGTTGGAGGAGCCGGATTTGAAGGTGTGATAGACCGTCTCCATGCGTGCCCAAAGGGAGCAGACGTGTAGGCAGAATTTGTTCTAAATTTTATTATATTAAAGGCGCCACAGCTCCTCACCCGATCATTCGAGTCCATTTCCCAGACCTCGGAGAGTTCGCGGAAGAAATCGATGCAGTAGAGGACGCGACGGGCCCAACATCGGCTGGAAATTTCGGTGTCGAAGGGGTCGAAATCGGACTCCGCGGTGAGACCGAGCTGAAGTTGAGATGAAGACAAATTCAGAAAAATCATAGCTATTGCAAAAACGACGCCACAAGAATCGGTACTGGACTATTAGCGGGCGGGGGGGGGGTGAGATAAGTAATTCTTATCGCTCCCCCTATGGTCTTGATAATATATAATTTATTCCTATAACTGGTTTGGTAGTTCCCAAAGGCTAAAAAGTTATCAAAAATATTTTTTTGAATTCTAAATATTCTAAATTTGAGGATTAATAGGTACTTGTGCATAAATTTCGAACAAAAGTAAAAAACGTCAAAATGCGCGAAGTTTTTCATGCACTTTTTGTGGCTAAACACGATGCAAAATGCTATAAATCTGGTTTATTGTTGAGCTTAGGACCGTAAGAAATAAAGACGAAAGTGGATTTCATCCCCCCCCGCTAGCAGTCCAGTACCAAAAACTAAATCTAGTCAATTACCTGGCCAATCAAAAGATCGCTCAATCAATGGCCCGATCGTTGATCTGGATTTTCTGGTTAGTAAGAATTAATGCTTTCCATACTTACCGGGACTCGAGGGCAAAGCAGTTGAGGGTCCCTTAAAAGATCGGCTATCGTCACATCCAAATCGAACGGAAAATCAAGCTGTAGCGGCGTTGATGGAGAATCAGCCGTGCAAAAGCTAAACAAGCTTATTTCGGGTCCCTAATGAGCACTTACCGATCGATCCTTGTCAACCGTTCAATTTCCGAGTCGACATCGACGGCTCGAGATGGGTGCATAAACGTCGAGGGGAAGCTGCCGCACATCCGCTTGTGCTCCTGAAGGCGGTGTTTTGATAGATTTTCACGTTTCAAATACTGGACCGTCACTAGTGCTATGGTTTTCTTCGTACCTCAAGAATCCGTACCTCTATCAAATTTGGCAAACCGGGCGAATTCGGCTCGGTTCTGCGCCGACAATCGAGGCGACGTCCGGTGACTGAAAATTGTAATGATCATTTTAATATTATGACTTCATATGTGGTTAGCTGCTAGTTATATGCAAGTTTGCCGAAATTGCTTTCAATCCGATACCTTAGATAACTATCAAAAAACCCACTTTCCGGTACCATCCCCGCATCCAAACACTTCTTGTACCGGCAAGCCCGGCATGTCTCGGCCGCTAAAACATCTATATTTACGCCATTGGATTGAGGCATACGGTATACACATCGTGATCCAGATCGGCAGACAAGCGGACGCTTCGACGTCGCCGCTCGCAGGAAAAAGACTTTGCACGAGCTGAAAAAGCCTTATCAACCGTCCGAACCTCTTATGGCCATAATATTGCAGTGTACACTATTCGTATGCTCCTATACCAAGTTATAGCAAAGCTTAATGTAATCGCCGGGCCTAGGAAGGCTATCAAAAAACGGAACCAACCTGCATGCCCGCGCGCCGTAAAACTGCCCAGCCGGCGCCGCACCGCACACCTTGCACTCTTTCGGGCGCCCACTTGCGCCACACAGCTCCGAGTGCATAACTAAAACTTCCAAGGTTACCATTCTCTTTTCAACTGCCAGCCACGGAAGATGAAAAAAAGCTTAGGGATTCGCGGAGGCCCGGTTGAATCCATTGGGTTGAATGAAACGGGGGCTAAGTGGTGGATTATCCCGCTTTAGCTTGGGCGAAGGAAGGGCACGCACGGCTTTGTACAGGGGCAGAGAGCAGTTTCAGGACAAAACATATTCTCGGGAAGTTTTAATGGCCTTGAAAATAATTAAAGAAAGGACTTATAAGTGAAAAAAAACATTAGGCTGCCTCTAGACGATTCGAAGGTAGTTTAAGATAAGATATTTTGAATGAAAGAAAAACGCAGGTGTCAATAAGTGTAAGCGCAGTAATACCTTGAGCGCACGCCCCAGGGCGCGGCTTTAATATAATACCGTTCGCGAAAGGACCGGTACTGTAAGTGCTTAGCGGTCGTGTGAACCCGGCCCTGGCCACAGTACAAAGATTTGCCGTGTTTATCTAGAAGGGGGTCCCCCCAAAATTCACTCCCCTTGAGGGGGAGGAGCCACCAAAATGTGACTATTCTTTGAAAGCTGGCCCCCTCTCCTCTCTATCTCTTCTCGAACGGGTCAATCAGCAAATATTTGCACGAGTTGTGCGCCCCCGGGGACTCCCCTCTTTCCGACGGTGTTCCCGCTTTTTGACATCCACCCTCACCATTTCTCATGTTTTTCCGTGTGTGTGTGTTTTTTATTGGGCGGAGTGCGATGAGTACCCTCTGGCCTGGGAGGGGGCTATTTTTGTAGTGAGTACTAGGTATAGGTCATCATTTTTCAAAGATCTTGGACGTGGTGAGAAGGGGAGTTGACGGTGGGTGCCACGCCCTGTCTGTAGTAGAACCGGGATAATATAGACTGTAAGCCTCACCAAATCCTGAGAGAAGGAGAAAGAGAGAGGGAGCGGCAAAGCCCGCGACACGCAACGCACAAGCCCCATGCCTTAAGTGATTGTTATCCTGTCACGGTGGCGGATTGACACGCGCGTTGCGTGTCGCGGGCGCCATAAACCGTGTTTCTTTCAATTCGGGCTTGAAGCATCCCACCAACCGGTGTTCTTATTAGCTTATATCCCTCGACGAACACCACGCAGACCGCTTGCGACGCGCTAATGCCTTTTTTGAACGGAAAAAGTTGCAGAAAATTTAAACTGCAAGACGAAAGAGCCCGCAAGCTCTTTCGAAGCACATCTGGCAGCTCATAAAAATATTTCGCGGTCAGGCTAAAAGCTGAAAAACTCGAGCTCAGAAAAGCGGCGATTTTCATTCCATTCATGGTTGGCTAAACTTCAGACGTCTTCAGCGGTCGCTTCCACAGCCAACACTGGCATCGGATGAATGGTCTCGATACCTTGCCAAACTTTAACAGAAAATTACTTCAGTAGCCCGTAGTCACGTACTTGCACAAATTTACCTTAGACTGCGTCATGGCAATTCATTTTCTTGCATTTTCTTATTACTCTCCAACTGTTTAACTTCCCAAGTGGACCAAAGGCCATTTTTTCGAATCCGCTTGACTTTGACTTGAACTTGCCCGGAACTTTTCCCTTTCAATAGTGCAAGGAAAATCGGGTCCAATTTCTCTAGGCCGAATTGGGTCCCATGGTGCTGGTCATCCGAACAACTTCTAGGCGCGGGGATTTCCGAACAGTCACCGCAAATATTTGCCAAATTCTTTTCCCACGGCCACCACGCGGCGGTTTGCCCCTCATCAAAAGTTCCCCCACCCTCGCTTTGGGTGTTTTTTGGTTTGCTTATTTGCTTGGCTGGGACTTTTGACCTGGGCGTGGAGAGCGGAGAACTGTGTTGAGTTTATTTTCGGAACGTTCGGGCACACGCCCCAGGAACGGGTGGTGATCATCATTATTTCGATTCTCTTGGGCTGACCAGGTCTATCATCTATTGACCTCAAGCTCAAAGTTCTCATTCCAGCCCTTTCTGTTCGTACTACATGTATTCCATTTTATGATGCCGACATCAAAGATTTTTCACGCAGCCCGAAGTCATCGGGATTTATGGGGCTGCTGAAATGGGCTTGGCACACTCTTGCACGGCTTTTATCGTCTTTTTATGTATAAAAAGCCTAAAAACGCGCTAAGAACTTTCATGTGGGGCAATGCGTAGCTTGGTTCTGTCAATATTACCCGTATTGGTAGCTGCGTATGATAATGGGGCTTGTAAGTAGCTTGAAATCGGCTTTTCCCTTGTTAGATTTTATTATTTGGCTATTTTTATATGAAACGTTTTTGAAAAACTCTGCCTTAGCCCTTCGCCATGTTCTGAAAATCCTTTTTCATTAAAACCACAAATTTTCAGATTGGGGAAGATGTCTAAAACGGCCGCTGAGAATTGGTGACAGCTTCAGGGCTCGTGGTCATCTTGAACCTGGAGTTCTTACGTGAGATTTTCCATTTTAATGAAAAAACCGGATCCATCAGTGGGTAACTGTGCCAATTTTCAGGTGGGTGTGCAGCTTGGAACAATCCCTGCACAACAACATCTTTGCCCGGGCGGCGCAGCGGAATTGGTATGACCTGAAGCAAAAACCGTACATCGTCTACGTTCAACGGGCTAAAATGGGGGTAGGTGGCATAAAAGGCCTGAAAAACTGCCCAAGAATATGCGTTGCACGTAAAATGTTTTAACGATCAATTACGACTTTAGGCGTTTGGCGGTGAGCATCGATATAACTTTATGCCATTCCCGGGCGGAGGTCCATTTGAAATAACGATGACGTGAGCTTCAGCTTTTCTGGATTTTCTGTAACGCTGACCTAGCCCAGAAAAGCTTTTGTCGCCCAGAAAATATAGTCAATTTTCAGCATCGTTGGGCCGCGTACAATCCGCGTCGACTACGGTAAGGGATCCACGTTTGCCGGCACCACCTGGACGCAGAAGGGAGTTGTCGTCGGGATGGACGTAGCAAAAAGTTTTGATGTAATTCCTGACCTTATTCGCCAAAGTTTTTATGTTTTAGTGTATCGGCCAGATCACAAACGTTACGCTCACTGGAGATGCCTTGGTTGGAAAGATGGTGGGTGGAAGTCAAGCGTTGATTTCTTAGAGCTTGTAGGTCCAGACGATCGTTTTTAGATGAAAGATTCGAACGATGTCTGCCCACCTTATTCATATTGGGCGACGCATCCGGATCCGAAGCCGCATCCGCACGAACATTCACATTCGCATGACTGGTCTGGCAGCAGGTTGGACATTCTCAATTTGCTCTCCATGGCCGAAAAATGTGTATTTTCCTAAATTTCATATGACTTGTGAATTCTATTCTTTAGTTCCGCTGAATGGCCTGATACCCACGGTGACGGTGGACATCACAATCATGGAAATGGCAATAATGGAGGCAACGGAAAGGGCGGAAATGGAAATAATGGCAACAACGGAAATGGCGGCAAGAAGAACCCCTGGGATGACTTGCAAATCGTGGTCAACATCAACCAAACCGTCATTCAGGGAACCGAACAAGCCGCTGTACCCGTCCCGCTACCCCCAATCCCTGGACCTCCAGAGCCTCAATACTGAAACTTAACGATAAAACATTGTTGCCTTTTGACGTCATTTAGATCTGAATTCGATTCTTGACACCTTGGCACCTTCCCCTTGAGGTCCAATGCTTTGCAAAGTAACGCGCAAAGTCACCTAGCAACTATGGGTTTTTTGGTAAATTCTGAAAATTTTGGCGCGAGTGCATCGCACCAAACCCATGCCCTCGAAAATTGATGCCTTTCTTGCAGCAAAAGGTAAAAATAAATTCCCTGAAACGACCAACATTCACCAAGGATTTTTGTTTGGCACCAGACACCCAGAAATTTCCCTAAAAAATGCACATAGCCAACGTATGCATATTTCTGTTATCTGTTCCGTACTCCTATACCGTATCTGTCGTCCTGATCAGACCAGCCTCAAATGGAAAATACCAGATACCCCCCATTAAAGCCTGCGCCCGGAAGTGTATCGAAAGCAAGGCCAAGTATTGCGAGGGATTCAGCTTGGAGCCAGGTATTTCCCGGTACTAATACGTCCAAAATTACCATTTTAGGCAGTTGCACATTAATCTACGATTTCCTCGATAAAACGATGGAATTCATGATCTTTCAGCGTTGGGTAGCAAACGACAGCAAGTGCCCAAAAAGTAATTTTGATTAATTTCAAAATGTTCAAATTATTTTAACCCGTAACTTAAAAAATTAAATTAAACATAAAATAATTCAAATCTAAAAATTATAGCAATGTAAAAATTTTTCAAATCATCGTTAGGCGCTCTGGCCTTGTATTCGCGACCCGTCATACGGTACCAGGACGCGCAGGGCACGATTGTGAAACCAAATAAAAATTCCGTTAGCGTGCAACCGGACGAATATTGGTGTAAAAGGTATTTTCCTTTGGAAGTATATTCTCTCATTCCTTAATTTTCTAGCTGGACTTGGTACCTCGTTGTAAGAAAAATAAAATGCAACGGCTTGCTAAACCTTTACGTATCGAACGATGGTAAGGACGTTTCGTCATACCCGAAAAAATTTAATGTTTTATCTTTAAATGTTTCAATTTTTATATCTCTTAAAGGGATCAGGGAGGCCCAGGGAAAACTAGCATAAAACGGGCTGTGGTTCTAAAATTAGCATAAATCTTTCTGATCCCTCCTTCCTCGCCCCACCCTCTGCCCATTTTTCAATCGCGTTTCGGGTTGGCTATGTATGTGCCATGATCTACTGAGACTTCCTGTTCCCTTTAAGGACTCTTGTAAGTATCTTGAAAATCAAAACACTAATCGGAAAATTTAGGCAGACTTATGACAGTAACCCCGATCTCAAATACCGTCCCCCCAGCCGGCTACTCGGAACTGCTTGGATATGTGGCCAAGGAAGGCAATGATTGCGGCGCCAGCTATGCCGTGTATCGCTCACCCAGCGGTACAGATCGTCAAAGATATGATAATGTCGGTACTGGCACTCCTTATTTTTACGCATGGAATCGGAATCCGCCCGTATTTTGTGAGGACACATACCGCGCGCCACGGTGTGCCATGTACGACGAATATGTGCAGTGCCCATCGCTTTTGGGGCTGCTCTGACAAATTGGATTTACTATCATCATATTGAAAATTATAACGCCAAAATTCATAATGTCGATCTTCGTATTGTCGAAATTAAATGATTTTTATGTGGGGGGAATAAACCCAAAAAATCAAAAAGAAAAAGTAAAGAAAAAAAAAAAAAAAAAAATAAAAATTATTTTTTTTTGGGTTTCTTAGTGTCGATATTCCTCATGGCGACATTTTTTTATATAGGAGTGGCGGGTTTTTACTGGAAAATTAGCTTCTGTAAATTTCGTCATTCTGAATTTTTGCATTACATTTTGAAAGAAATCCGACAAATTATTAAATGTATGGATTAACTTTATCGAGGAAAATGTATAACTGCGATGTACATATTGCATGCATAGACTGTAAATAAATTATTAGGTTAAAACAAATTTTTAGCTTCGATTGTCGCTATTAATAGCCTAGGCGAAACCAAAAAAGCCTAAATCCATCATTCTATTTTTAAACACAAAAAATACTTCCTAACTCAGGGCATCACAGAAACAAACATGACCCAAACCAGCACAACGCCACGCCCAATCAAACCCAGAGATTTTCGGCGGTTTGTGGGGATGGCAACGGGACGCTACTAGTTACTTACGGACAATGAAGGCAAGTAACATTGGGTTCGAATGATTTAGTTCGGTAATCGGACAGACAAATGCCAGAGATAAGTGAAATAAAATAAAATTTGAGGAGAGGATCACTACCTAACCTTTCCTTTTACGTTCTTACTACAGTTTTTGACAAAAGTAAAGGTGGCTCGTCTTTTTTCGTAATTTCTTCCAGCGGTTTGGCATGTAGACGTCATGACCCATAGTTCATTTTGTAGCCGGAAAAAGGAGAATTTTTTGGTATACTGGACATGTCTCAACAATGACGCAGCAGATTTTTATAAGCATTTTAAGTCAGGCTATCTCATTCCCAGGGCCGTTCGCTACACACCACTACAAACGACCCTGAAAAACGCGGCAAATCCCCCCAAATTCAAACGAAATAAAAAACGCCTGCGTTAGCGTACTTTCTAAATTCAGTTTTGTTAGTGCTTAGGATCATTAGAATCGCCGTGTTCCATTCTACAAAGTTGGAATTTGGGGTTTTTTTAAGATAGGCCTTATCTTTCAAGATATAAGACTCCAAAGTTTTGGCGCCATACATTTTCTTGACGAACGGAGTGCTTACACCGCCAAGATTTCGGGGCGTGACGCCCACGTAGGGTAATATTTCAGTGTCTAGACGCCCAAGGGAAAAGACCAGTAGGTTTCTAAGCAACTTTGTAACGACTGCAGCTAGGTGTGGTTGGTCATAGTGGCATTTCAACAAACTTGTCAACATGCTGACCCAAACCTTGGCATTTTCACTATTTGTGGGACTAAACGCTGTGGCGGTCTCGCTAATTCGACCGGAATCTGACTCCAAATACTCGATTTCTTCCATCGAGGCGTGCACTCGGCAATGTGTTCAGCAACAGCCGGGATACTGCGTGGGATTCAGCCTGGAGCCCGGCGCGTGCAAATATTTCACGTTGAAAATTACATTAAGGCGCGTGTACGTTAATCTACGACCTGCAGGACCTATCAATGGAATTCTTCCTCACCCAGCGATGGCTCAATGTTAGCTCGTGTCCACAGAGTAGATTTCGAAACTTTTAATTGTCGAAATTTCGCAGGCAGCCTTGATTTATACCTAGTGGCCTCGCCACGCTATGTCGACAAGTATGGGAGGATTGTCATGCCGACGAATATTTCCGAAAACGTTACTGCGGATTCGTTCTATTGCGATAGGTAGGCCTAATTGCCTAGCCTATGCTGTGAATTCAGCGAGTCAATTGCTACTAAAAAGTCGATTTAAACTTTAAAGGTATTTATTAAAGGGAAGGGCAAAGTATGGATTTGGGCAGCCCGATATCCCATATGGAATTACGGTCACTTTGTCTACACGCCTTTTGCCTAATTTTTTCGACCACGTTATAGTGGCTTTTTGACGGAAAGCAATTATTCTTCGAAGTTTTTATAGCTGTTTAATTCCCTTCTATAGATAGTTGATGATGCTAAGCCTAAGCCTAAGCCTAAGCCTAACCTAAGGCTAAAGCTAAGCCTAAGCCTAAGCCTAAGTCTAAGCCTATGCCAACAGGATATGGGCAAAATGAGTTTAGGTGGAGTGACCAACTGTATGACAATTCAAATTCCATCCTTTTGTGTTTTTTTAATGGAAGAGCATGTGTTGCCCATAAAAATACAAATCAAAATTACAGCTATTCATGGTATTACCTTATCCGACCAATCGACTGTAGCGGATTGATGAAGCTCTATATGTCGGATGATGGTATAGTTCTAGATCGTTATCGCTTTGACGAGCGCGCCTTCAGGTCTATACCTAACCACCACAAACTTGTCGGACGTCGTTGACGCGACGCCACCCTCGCTATATACAACACTTCTCGGATATGTTGGGGCTGAAGGAAACGGCTGCGGCACAAATTGGACCGTCAATATCTGGCAGTCGAATGCAGACCCTAATCGCATGTCATACTCGTCAAATGGGGCATACCCTGCGTATTTCTATGCGTGGGATGTTGTACCTCAGGTCTGGTGCGAGGATACGTACAAGGAGCCACTTTGTTCCGCTTGGTTTGCCCAATTTCCGCCTTGTCCACCCTTGATTGGGCTAGTATAAAGATCTCAGCGAAGCCACTTTTCTGGTGTTATGTGCTAACATGGTGACGTCTTTGAGTGACATCCTAGTTTTTGAGCATAACCAAGCCTATCTTGTGCAGAATTTTGCGCTGATTCCGAAGCTGTTTTCCAAATCTGCTTAATCGGCATTTTGAAGAAGTTACAGCGCATTTTAGGGCAAAAATGCTCAAAATCGCAAAGTTTAGACACCTGGAAAAATTCGAGAGAAATTATTTTGCCGAAAGTAATTAGGACATCTTGTGCAAAAAGATGCTCTTTCGAATGAGCTATTCAATGCAATTTTTTGGAATCCTTCCGGAAAAAAAAAATTAATTTTATCTCATCCTCGTCCTGCCCAGACTTTGAGGCAATTTTTAAAAAATTTTTCAAATTTTTCGTATGATAGCTCATTCGAAAGAGCTTCCCTAACAACTGAATCCAAGGTAAACACATCGGATGCTGGCGCCCTTGGGTTTATCTTTCGCGAAAACAGCATTGGCAGCACTGGTGTCACCAGCAACTTTGTGACAAGTGATTTGAAGTACTGCTACTGGCTTCGCTACTGGCGAACGTAAACGCAGAGCAAAATTTTCCAATGCGGGTTTGACCAGGATCAGTCCAGGATGATGGTTTGTTTCTTGCTATTTCTTGAATAAGCTACCAGTATTTCCATTTTTCCCACAAAAACCTGCTTGCCAATTTGTCATGCGGCACCCGGCACCTAAGAGAGCAAATGGTGTGTTACCAGGCAACTTTTTGAGATCACTTTTTCGCGACAAGTAGGCATTCGAACAAACCGATGCTACTGCCATGCCGATGCTGCTCGCACATACAATCTTATTCTACCTAATTTCCGGTTTTGATGCTGTGTCCGTGGTGTTAATACGGCCTGAATCAGATTCGAAATACGCAAGTGAATTGATCATTAACTGTACCCGGCAATGTGTGCAAAATCAGCCCGAATATTGCCAGGGATTCAGCTTGGAGCGTGGTAGCCTGTGAACTTGTAAAGATCTTTCAAACACTCGTGCGCAGGTACCTGCACTCCAATTTACGACTTGCAAGATATGAGCATGGAGTTCATCCTCTACCAACGTTGGGTCAATAACAGCTCATGCCCCACCAGTATGCTTCAGTGTTCGGACGGCTAGGCAGTCTCCAGGTCTCCCGGATCTCTACAGCAGGGCTTTTTCACGCTACGATGACACGTATGGGACAATTGTCATGCCTGTCAATGAATCAAAAGACGTCGTTCCGGATAGTTACTTTTGTGAAAGGTCAGTTGACGTTGTTGCTCTCTATCACATCTGCGCGCCTTTGCAGCGTACTGAAAAATCTGGGAAAAGCTCCGGAATTCACATCATACGGCAATTTCTGCTTGCGCTATCGCTTTAATAAAGCCCAACCTGCAAAAAGAACCCTTTAGTTATACTTGGTCATACATGGCAAGGCCTGTGGATTGCGAGGGGCTTATGAAGCTCTATGTGTCTAGCGATGGTATTTGGTCGTTAGGAATACGCAAATTTCACGCCTATTCAGGTCTGTTCCTGACTGTGGCAGCCGCCGCCGACGTTTTTGATGCAACCCCACCATCTAACTATTCAAAACTTCTGGGATATGTCGCAGCTGAAGCGAATGTTTGCGGCGCAAATTGGACGGTGCGCTCAGAGGAAACGTCCTTCGATCCACCACGTATAGTGTATCAAGGAGTAGCGAGTGGCGAGATAGCCTTCCATGGCTGGGACCGGGCGCCGCCGGTATTTTGCGCGGATACCTTTCTGCATCCGCTTTGCTCGCTCTACGTTACTGACGTGTTGCCGTCGTGCCCTTCGCTGATCGGAATTTCTTGAGTACGGTTTGGGTTTTGTCCTAGTTTACAAATTCCTCCCTATTTCAACTCCAAATGTCAAAGTCGAATAAAATTTCTTTATACATATTATTAAACGGCGTGTGTTTTCCAAGTTAATGCAAAAGTATCAATAGAATGCCGATATATTTATCGAGCCATTTTTCGCCCTGGTACACCACGAATGGGAGGTAGCGCTGAGGAAGAGCCGGATGGCGCCGCCACGGAAAATGAACTGCGTGCGAGAACGCTGGGCGTGACGCTGGCCGTGTGGGAGATGCTGGTGACTCGTTGTATTTTGCTGCAAATCAAAAATATAGATTAGTCAATGCCAAAACTCACAAAACTCTCCCAAGCACCGCGTATCGATAGTCCTTGATGAAGTAGGTGACGCAGATTGGGTCCACGACCGGGTACAGGGACACGAAGATCATACCTTAACGGGAGCCTGGAAGTCAAAATTCGCG